GCGATCGGATAGTTGCGCTGCAGCTCGCATTCTTCCCTTTGTTCTCATTGTGCACCAGTGATGGATCCAAGTGGTTTTGATATTGATATTTTCATCTAGTCCGTGGACATGTTGCTCGTGTGAACCAGTGTATCCTCTGTAGTCCACTACTCAGTCAGGCTTGCCTAATCACAGCTAGATAAGTCGCTCGTCGGCTCGTGTGAACCGGGCCTTACGCTCTCTTCCGTTGGAATTGGAACCAACAAACAAATCCTAATGTTATGCCTACATTTACTGCATTGGACTATGAATCATATCTAAATAAAGTGTCGAGGTTAGATAGTAACAAGACCAGTTTCGGACCATCCCCTTTCAAAACACACAAAATGCCATTAAATACACAAATTAATGAAAAAAAATTAAAACTTTTTTAAAATCACATACTTTTATTTATCAAATAACAAAGAAATAAGTATCAAACTACTTTATGATTCCAAACAAATAAATCAATAAAATGTGTAGTGGTTTCAGATATTTTTAAAAATATCAGATAAAATTCTCCTTCCTATTCCCAAAGAGGAACCCCAAAATTTATCCTCACTAAGAACATGAAGTCACCGATGTATAATTAGATCTGACTATCTTAGTTATATTTTGATTTTGATTAAATATATACTTTGGTTAACATTGGACAAATTTGTGTAACTTGATGAATTAAAATCATCTATAAAAACCTATATATAAAATAGTAGTAGGCCTACTTAAATAGTTTAGGTTTCAATGAACTAAACTTAGAATGGCCTTTTATATGATTGTGGCTATGATACTCTTTATTTTTCTTTTATTTTACTAAAGTTTCTAACAATTCCATACCATTAAGCTGTAGCCATAGCATAATGGAAATTTCAGATAACAATCACAACATCTTAAAAAAATTAACCAACTTCTTACTTTTACTTTCAGAGCCAATATGGATATCAATGTTGATACTTTAGTTTATCAGGCTATTTTGGTTCGGTCTCTCGTGTTTTACCTGACTGTTATATTTCCTACATGTCTGCATCGACTTTGTTCTAACTACTTTTGACACCTTCTAAAGGCTTTCAGTTTAACCCCTTATATTAAATATCAGTTATTCCAATATCTCTCTACAACAATGCATCCGTCTCATTAATTGGTATCATTTGAAAAAATACAATGTTTAAATTCACATAAAGCTTTATCATCGGTATAGTGTTTTCAACAGTTTTTTTATAAACACTGTCCAACAGCCATATTTTGAAATATGAATCATTTCTCAAACAATAATTTAAACCTCCCAAAGGATAAATATGATTTTGACTTTACAGGTGTTTGAAACAATACTCAACAACTCATACTTATTAATTTGCTTTACTTTCACAGAACATAAACATAGCTGTACACGAAGAAAAGCCAGAACATCACATATAAAGGTAGGATCAGTACAATTAACCATTTTTGAATTCTCATATTACATCTCAAAGAGGCAAATCTCTATTATACAAATTTTACCTGTTTTTACAAGGTATATTAAAAAAGGACAGATTGTGTTGATTCATCATCTAATGCAATATTCTATCACTCACTTGAGAGATGGTCGGTTTTTAATAGCAATAATGGATTTTGTTATTCATTGATCAAGAATATCATCATTTAGCATTCACATATCAAAAAAATATATTAAAGACTTAACATTTATGAATATTTGAATTTTGTACAGTAATTTTAAACAAAACCAATGACCAAATGATGGGACCTGATGGCGATGGCTTACTCTCAGGAATTAAAGATTCAGTAGTTTCAGTCATTGATGAGAATCGCAGATCTGTTATATGAGTGAGTATACATTTATCTTATTCCTGAACAATCTTAGTAGAACGTAATACAAAAAGTCATTATTGATAAATGAATAAAATTTCTGAAACAATGGATTAAAATTACAAATCACCGCTCTAAAAGTGACACAGCTTTCTATCAGAGTGTTGGTTCAGATTAAATTTGTTAGTTGACAACATTTTATAACAATCACATAATGTACTAGACAGTTAATACTAACTCAAATCTATTTATAAGGTAGTTGACAAAAATATTTCTGCCCTCACCCACCATTACAATATTTTGTGGAAGAGGGAAAAACTCCATCAATTATTCAAACAGCTCTTCTGGACATTGTGACGATATGCCGTGAATGGGGACAACATAAAAAGGACGATTAAAGCTTCTGGGTTGACGTAAACTATGAAAGTCGGCCTGCTCCTGTTGGTTGATGACGGGTCGAGGTGCTAAGATCTCATGTCTTGAAATTAAGTTGAGAAGTGGGTTGTACAATTCTTGAAGGGGAATTGAGGCTTCATCATCATTTGGCTCTGCACGTGCACAGTTTCTAGCTCGGTAGAAACACCGACAACAACATTTGAAGCACAACTTGAATCCTTTTAAGAGGAGAATAACCAAGAGTGTGACCACTGTTGCCACAACTATGGTGAAGGGCAAGTAAGCTGCAATAACAAATTACCTATTTAATAAAAACTTATGTAGAACCTCATTTGCCAACAACAACAAAAATTTGATGGGATTTGTTGTTTGATCAGCACATTTTAACAGTATCCAAACATATGCATACGTTATAACACAATTATTTTTGTAAGTGTTCTATACAAATATTTATCATTATATTTTTAGTTGCTTTTATGTATAATATTAAAATTTAATTTATTTTATTTTGGCTAGACATAGTTTATTTAATTTTAGAATTTTACCTAACCAAATATTTTAATATCCTTGACAAAAAATCTTTTTCACAATTAAATTCTAAGAAACTATGGTTGGCTCTAATGTTTAATTTTTCATCATGTTTTGCCTTTACAACCATTTTTAGGTTCCCAAAAACCAATACATTTCTCTTGAACACATTTTAGATGATTTCTTTATGATAGTACTAGTCATATTTTAAAGAGTATATTTATTTCAAGATATAAATTAAATGAAATTAAATTGTTTATTTGCTGTTGATCATTTATATGAAGAAGTTAAATTATGTTTAGGTTTAGGAGTAATTGCGAGTTAGGTGACACTAATGTAACACATTGTCAGTAATATCCTGACGCAGAGAGTAGCATCGAAACCCGGCTCTGAGAAATGGAAGAGACGATTAAGGCTATGCTGGACACCTTCTGGACCCAGAAACCTGTAAATCAAGTGGTCACAAAACGGCATGGCCAAACTAGAGGATAACCTTGGCTTCGTTTTTGCCTGCCGGCTGGTGAGCAAGGCGGCCATGGAAAAGATTGCCGAGAAGGTAGTGACCCTGCCCGATGAAAGAGCACTTCCTTCTAAGAAACGCAGGAGGCCTCCCACATTGGAGAGTCCTCCAAAAAGAGAAGAAGGTGTCCAGACCAAAAAGACTACGGTAAAGGCCAAAGTTACTCAGAGGGACCTCTCGTCTGCTGTGCCCAGATATTTTTCGGATAATCCTGGTAAAACCCTCAGGGGGGAGATCTTTTGCCAGGGTGTAATTAAGGCCATAGCTAAGCCGAAGCAGACCGATACGGTTGTACAGTATTAGACAAACCCGGGACGGGGACGTTCTCCTTGAACTGGGTTAAATCGAAAGACAAAGGGACAAAGCCGCTTTTACTGCCAATCTGAAGGCAGCTGTTGAAGGCCAAGGCACCGTCTGTGCACTTGAGCCTAAGACAGTAGTCGAGGCTCGAGACATTGATTGTTTGTGCCCTGAAGAAAGCTGTCCCCGAACTTGCCGTGCAAATGGCTATTCTTAAGGTCTGGCTCACAAAACCGAATAGGAGTCAGCAGCGGATGGCGGTCGCCGAAATGGCTGACGCACATGCCAGTAAGGTGTTGGGACTCCAGCATCTGAGAGTCGACTGGGTCAACTGCAGGCTCAGACGGAGGGTGGAAGTGAAGAGGTGTTTTAACCCACATAGCACAGAATATTTATTTGATATCAAATAAACGTTCAATATATCAAACTATGTCAAATCAAAAATTTGATATTTATTTGATATTCATTTAATGTTCAAAATGTCAAAGTCAAACAATGTCAAACTTTGAATATTTATTGTATCTTCAAAATATCAAAGTCAAATAACATCAAATTTAGAATATTATCTAAATATTCTTAATGTTAAAAATTTGATTTTCTCTTTGAAAATTTCCAAATATACTAGTTTTAAAAAATTTTAGATTTAACTTTTTAAATTTTGTAGAGTAAAGAATTAGTCCCCAGCCTACAGGGGCCCATTTCATAATAAACTACAAGTTACAAGTTACAACTTGTAACTTGTTATTTCCATTAGATTTGCATTGGGCAATCAGCTGATTTACTAATAATATTAGTTTGTACTTTATTATGAAATGGGCCCCAGTTTGTAACATGGAGGTCGGAGGTCAATTATCTCAAAATAATTAATAATAGGAAGGAACACTGAACACTGTAATTTTTAATTAATTGATGATGGATTTTGACTTTTCGCGGGGGGGGGGGGAGTTGTTGGAACATCTGATATTTTTCTGAATCTAGGCTTACTACACATTTCAAGAAGAGTGAATAGGAAACACAGCTTTTTTAAAAGTTTTGTTTATTAATAAAAAAGTCAAACTCTTAACGATTGGCCTTATCATTTTATTTTTACTAGTAAATTAAACCAAACGTAAATTTAATTTTTTTTAAGTGTAATATAACTCTAAAAATATGTTAAGTATCTAGTTTGAGCTTGACTTGGCCCATTCGTATGAAAGGAAGAGAGGAAGACTGAAGACAAAACACCAACTTAATTCTAACCTAACTCAGCAAACAAAACAAAACATTACAATACAAACAAAACAAATTACAAAATCCGTCGCGCGACCAGTGGTGGCCAGTTTACTCACGGTGTGGATTTATTTATTTATTAACCAACAAATTGCCCATTTTGAGGGAAAGTACACGATTTATGTAAAATGTACCTATGACAACTGTAGAGTAGGCTACACAAGTAGTGAAAATAAACTATGGAAGCAACAAGAGTATCAAGATTCAAGAACAAGACATAACCTCAAATCAGTTAACTTAAGTGTGCTGATATTTTGTTTAGTGTGTGGTGTGTGTCACTGTTAGTTTAGAGTTGTTATTTTTGTGACTGGGTATTGGCATAACCTACACCGAACATCTTTTCACGTTTTGATCCTTGGAGTATGTAAGTAAGTCACTATACCTAGTAACATAGACGTATTTTAGGCCTTGGCCTTACCTAGACCTAAGTTAAGCTACTGTACAAATTAAATTGGCCAACTTATCATTCCTAATGCCTTAACTTAAGTATAAATAGATAAATCTGAAACCTCAAAATAGGCAATCTGTTTTAGAGGAAGTATTTTTCTGCATACTAATTAGGCCTAGGCGTATGCTACTAAGTTAGGCGGCTTGCTTAGTTCTTACTGAACCAGTAGTTTATTTAGCTTCAAAGGGCAACTTCCGGATGAAAATAGTGTTCAATATATAGGCTAGTAAGTAGGACTAACTTACTGGTTTACAAGGCAAATGGAATACCATACTGTGTTGTAATACCTTGTTAGGCTAATTTTGAAAACTAAGTTATGTGGGTTATATTTTACGTCAGTCACTAACTTAAGTTTATGTAAATTCACCATCAAGAATAAGTTAACTTAATTTAGGCTAGCCTAGGCCTAACATATTCTACCTCAACCAGGTTACAATTTACCGGTATTATAAAAGAAATAGCCTAGCCTATTTGAAATCCATGTTCCTTTTAAACTGAATTGGGGTACACTTCCGTATCTGTTGTCAAAAACAACTGAATGAACATAGGCTATAACGATCGATATTTTCATTCGGTTGTTTTTGACAACAGATACGAAAGTCTACCCCTGTATTGTCCTTAGTCTTTTGTATTTTAGTTGTTGTCTGCTTCCTTTACCAACCAATGATTAGGCCTAACTAATCTTGATACATATTTAGGCCAGAGAAAGGTATGCATGAATTTAACTAAAAGTAGTTTTCTCTCCATTGTTTCAGTTGATAACTCTGCAGCTTTGGTGGAAGTTATTATTTGGTAGCAGTGAATAATTTGCCTACGGTACCAATTCTCCCGAGTGACAAAGTGGCTGTCTAGCAGCCTGTAGGCTGGGAAGGAGGAATAAATTTTTCTTTTGCAATCTGCATCTGAAGCCAGCTATCTTGCGTAAGTTTTTTTTTTATTTACAATCAGACATTAATAATAGGTAGACATACATATATTTCAATTAGGTTTTCTCAAAGTTAAAATAAGTTAAAATAAAGTTTCAATCTTAGGTGTTTTTATTTCAATTTTTCTGTTTGATTCGCCATGACTGTGTATGTCTTTTTTGCCATAACGGGTACAGTTCCGCAGAGAACCTGCGATATATTATCGGATGAATAACATTATATATCAATAATTATCCGTTTCAATACATCGTTCCCTATGTTTTTTCACTATGTAAACATCAAATTGAGTTATGATTTGCAGATTTGGTGAATTGGTTTTGCAATATTAATATCAAATCAGATATATATACCGTCCGATAATATATCGCAGGTTCTCTTAGGAACTGTAGATAAGTTAGGCTCTACCACCAAAACACAACCTAATTCATGATAGGTACCTATTGGGTAATAACGTAGCCTAAGGTTCATCACACAGTTAAGAGAGTTTCTCTTTTTTGTGACCCACTTATATAGGAAGTCTTTGATTTACACTAGCCTATATAAATATTCCTGCAGTGCTAACTTGTGTAAAAGAAAACTGTATTAGTTGAATTTTTTTAAACGCACACATAGGCCTATACACACACCAAACTACATCCGACCGTTGCACTCATTTCAGTCAGTGCTCACCCCAATATTTGTCTGTTTAAGTGACTGAGGATTACTTTTACCACTACCTAGGTCAAAATTTTCAATTTTCAGATTTAGATTTAGCTTTAACAAGGCTACTCAAAAGAAGCAAATGCCATCAAAATATAAAATAGATTTCACTAACAATTTAATATGTGTACCTAGTTGTAGGCTATCCTGGGTGTTGATCAGGAAAATTAAAATATATACAAATTCTAGTGCTAATACTAATCTCTTTTATACAGAGGCAGAACCGGTACGCAAGAACACTAGGATCGTGGTGTAATGGAAATATATGTTGTTGCTAAAACTATAATCAAGAATTGGCTTCGCCCAGCAAAGTTTAGGAATGATTGATGCAAGGTAAATTTATTGTGTTATTTATAATTTAGGTTAAAGAAAAGATTGCTTATCTAATTACCTAATATAGAACTTAAATTTTATTATAATTAACAGATTAGGCCGACATCTAACTACTGTGATGTTTTCTTTTCAAATTGTGAATTTTCAGTGACAGGCTATGCAAATGAGCAAAACTTAATCTGCGGTTTTATCCATCTCTTTTTTCTTTATTGTTAAGAACTCAATGCCTTATCGACAAATTTAATTATAAAGTACAGGTATAGTAAAAAAATAGGTCTTAAAAATGCCTAACGAAGGGGTCTCCAACCTACAGCCTGTGGGCTACATCCGGCCCTTGTGCAGTTTTATTCCAGCCAGCAGAAAGCCAGCATACGTTTTTGAAAATTATTATTTTTATAGCAAACACCAATTATATTCTCCCACGATTGCGTAAACACGTGTGGTCAGGTGGTCTCAGCTATATCGTGATCATCTCCCGTGATCTCGCCAAGACTCACGAGCATATTATACTGCAGTCTCGACGGTACCGTGATTGTCTTTTGCAATCCCAGCAACACCCTTCATTGTTGACCGTGATTTCCTTGAGGTGTAAAAAGAGAACTTTGTCAATGAATGCAGGCTCAGCCATGGGATATTTATTTACCTCGCGGCTCATACCATAATTAAGAGCAATTAACTGTCTCTTCCCCATTCAACAAAATTTGTGTACAATACCCTGTCTCCAAGTTGGCAGGTTAACGTATTTAAATAGGAACATAGTAAATGTCTCTCACTTGCTAATTTTTTCTCAATAGGCCTAGGGGAATATTAGTAGTAGTCAAGTAGCGGCAGATTAATTTAAATATATATATTTTTAATTGATCCTAATTGGCAGAACTACAAATTGAAATCTTAAACTAGCTGACATTTTAAGTGTCAAATTTTATAGCCTATTCTCACTAAAAAATCATTGAACATTTTGTCAAAGATTTAGCTTAGAATGTGATTACTTCTTAATTGCACATCTTTCGTTAGAATTAGAGGCATTTATAATTTTATTTTATGAACAGAACTATATTTTAGATTATTAAAAAAGGAAACTATGTAGTTTATTTGTTTATGGATAGATTTTGATAAAATTTGGCAAACTTATTTACTTTATCCTATACTATTGACGTATGCTCAAAAAAACTTTTTACCTTCTCCATGGCTGCAAACCTAACCTTGTTAAATCTAATCTTCATTCAATTTTTATCTTGTATATTTTTTTATATTATCAGCAAGTTAGGTTAGCTTATGACAGTTTAATTTTATAATAGAATGCTCTCATTTTGTCCGTAGTAAACCTTAATTCAATTTTTTCACAATCAGCAAGTTTGGTTAATTTGGTTAGGTTACGACATTTTAATTTTATAATAGAATGCTCTCATTTCGTCCGTATCACAAAAAGCCTTTACCTTGTGACAAACGACAACTACAATCGCATCGATAGTAGATGATGTTGTGATTCGATAGAGTAGCGAACAATTAACGTTAGTCGCTAAATCGGTGGCGTTTTTAGACAAAAAAGTGCTCACCGAGGAAAAAGGGTTGGAGACCCCTTGTCTAACATATTATATTTTATCTATAGCTGTCTTAGAAAATAACTCTGTTGAACCTCTTTTACAGGAACAATAGAAAACCCAAGAAGGCCATTTGGGAGATGAAGAAGACCAGAATTATTTTGTTTGTAAATTGTACATATCTTTTTTATATTTTGTGTTTAAACAATTTTTAATTAAACTTATTTTATCATACAAACAAACTTTTTTCTTTAAAATGTTTTCCTTGAATGCAATTTTGTTTTAAACAAATATGTTTTGTGATACTTTTGTTAATGTTTTGTCAAATAAGAAATATATATATATATTTACATTTTTGGGTCACCCAAGAACTTTAACAAACTACCTATAACTTCAGAATAATAAGTCAAATCAAGGTAAGAACAGTAAAGAAGTCTGAACTGATATTATTTTGATCGCCATGAAATTTGAAATGTGAAAAAAATGCAACCTAATTCTTCTAAACATATTTTACCAATAAATGTATGAGACATTTATTTGATATTCAATTTAGTATTTATTTAATGTCAAATTAAGTGAGGTTGAACCTAAATTGACCATTTATTTGATATCAAATGAATGTTGGCGAATATTAATTTAATATTCAAATGTCAAAAATGTTATATCAATATTTATCACCATCATATTTAAAATGTGAATGTAAATTCAATCATATTCTCTTTATTATATTTTACCAATAAATTTATGAATGTCAAATTTGATATTTATTTTATATTCAATTTGAATATTTATTTGATGTAAAATTGAGTGACGTTTGAACCTAAATTGAACGTTTATTTGATATCAAACGAATGTTCGTGAATATCAATTTGATATTCAAATGTCAAAAATTTGATAGCTATTTGATATCAAATAAATATTCGGTGCTATGTGGGAAGTGTCTCGGTTTAGGCCATTCCTCTCGGAACTGCAAGGGGCCCGACCGAAGCAAGAACTGTGTGTCACATTACATCCAGGGTATCCTACGCGCCAAGAGCCAAGAAGCTCAACCTTGACTGGGATGCGGTGTAGGTCATAGTCATAAAGAATCTTAAATGCCAGATACGGTGCGAGCCCTGAAGGCTTATGTCACATAATGTGACTTGAAGTAATGTGACAAACAATTCCAGGTCTGTGTCCAACAGAGAAGAGGGGGTTTTTTAGTGTGTGGTCTGATAAATTCAGGAGTCTCACACTACAGGCTGGCTACCTGTGTGCGTAAGAGCATTTACCCTCCTCTCCAAAAAAAAAAAAAAATAAATGTAAAACATTATGTATTTTACTGACGATTAAGTTCTTGTATCTTGTATCTTGAAACATAGGCATTATCACAATATTAAATTAAACTAAAACAGATTGGCATAAATCTATACAACTAAAACCTAATGTATACTTGCACAAACAGATGGCATGTAATAAAATATTCATATAGACTACATTCTAAAACGTATTGTTTTAAAGCTAAAGCAGTTATACTTGAATAGATACAACTTCCGTATCGGCGTAGTGGGGCGATCTGACGTTCGAGTAAGAGGGAGAACTGCCAGGTTGACTACCTGACCAATAAGAGCAAGGAGAGCCTGACGCGGTTTCCATAGCAACAGGCGCTGTTGCCATATCGCACTGCATCTCCACGCCCGCACGCACATGTGCAGTTCTTCCAGTGTTATGACAGTGACTACTTCGAGTACAGTATACTGTCCGCGAGAGTTTAGAAGTCCCCTAAGCTAAAAAAAGTTTTGATGTTGGAATAGTCATCACATGTGTATTTCACAGTATATTTTGGGTTTACAACAGAAATGTTGTTTCAGAAGTCAGTAAATATCAAAGAGTGTTCCAAACATGGGGAATCATTTATTTTGGAACAAAATTTTCTGTACTTCTACGCTGTTCTGTTTACAACACTCCCCTATCAGCAGATGTTCTCTAACTATCAACAGATAACACGAAATTACAGCACAGCACACAGTGTAACGTTGCGTGCGTTGTAAGCTGGTGCTGGCGCGCATATTCTGTGAGGAAGTGGCAGTTCCCGCTCACTGCGACTAACAACGCGGCAACACCGCAACAGCAGTCTCCCCACTGCTCGCTACCCCTCCACACCTCTCCGATTCGGAAGTTGTATCTATTACAGTTATAGTTATAGTAGTTCGTCATTCAAGGAAATCTGTAAAAAGATCTGTTTTCAACACAACAAAATTAAATTTAAAAAATGTCTCTACAGATACTTTTTTAACATAACAGCCCTTATATGATATTACCTTGTTAGTAGAATAATAAAATCCAAACTTTCTAAAAATAACTGGTGAATAACTATTCTGTATTCTTACGTCCAGTTAAGGCCTCGAACACTTGAGTGGCATATGTAGGTGTAGGGCGAGGGTCTGAAACTGACACGGTGATTTCTCGTTTATAATCCTGAGGTACAAAATCTTTCATAAAAAATGCGCTGGCCAATGAGATTGGCTCTAAAGCCAGTAAGATGGAAGTGAGGCACTTGATTATCATGATTATCTTTCTCACACAAAATCTGAAAAAAATATAAGTTTCCTGAGTTCTAATTACAGTAGTTAAACGAGTTTAATATATTTCATATTTAGTAAAATAAAAAATTAAAAAACATGCTGGAGAGTATTTGCCATATATTTTCACTTTTCCTATTTGCAGAGACCAAAATGAAGAATGACAAACTGGTCTGATGCCAGATGTCAGGATTAAGTTCAAGACCATGATTGTCACACCACTGCCTTACTTAAACAAAATCATTAACCATCAACTGATTGATTCCCAAAATGAAGAATAGTTGTGGACAAAAAAAGTTGACAATCATCATAGTAAGATTGTAAACTAGTGAATTTTAAAATTATATCAGATTATGGTTACAAAATTTGAGAATAATTGACACAGTTATTGCAGGAAGATTCCGTACTAGTTAAGTCCTTACATCTTTGAGAGGATTTTGCTATTCACTTTAGTTTTCTGAGATCTTGGAACATGATATGAAGAAAATCATCTTAGAGGACCTTAAAAGAAAGCTGAGTTTTAATAGAAGCATATCCATGGTGTACAGAATCAAAAGCCTGGGAACAGTCAAGTGAAGCCATGCTTGGTAGAACATTTACCAGAATTTGTTAGCATTGTAGTCAGTAGATAGAACAAACTACAGTTCTAGCTTGGCTTGAAAACATCTGTCATAAAAAGGACAAGTAATCCTTTTTACCCACTGTGGAAACCTGGCTATGACTTTTACAACACACCAAACAAGTCCAGGCTACTTACTAGCTCGCCCACTATAATATTCCCTTGGATTTTATAGCAAGCAGACTAGATTAATATTATAGGCTAAAATTGCAGTACAAAGTTT